GGATTGCACACTGTCTGTATTTATAGTATTTGCTCAGATGCAGATACATAATCGATGTCTTGATAATAGAATGAACAGTCAACATACAATCCGTTTACCATATATTACGGCTATTCAAAGAAATCTATAAAGTATTTGCAAACGTACTATATGTACACTATTATCACACAATAGCCAATGTAAAATACGTTCTAAATTTGTGAGTCACAGACTGACGTAATACTCTCAATACTGTCATACTCATCTAATCAATTTCAGTTAAAGAGTATGATTTAGCTGTATAGCGTACTATGTACAGTCATTTGAGTATTGGAGATTGACGAGACAGTACGTGACGTTGATCACTACTAGATGCGTTACTCGCTTCTGTCTCGTTTCATTTTACGAACGGCTCCTGCAACGACTAACTAGTGTCTTCCGTATTTCTGTAGCACTCCTTCACGATTGGGATGACATATCACACGCACGCTTCAGAAAACTGTGAAAGATATTCGCATAGGAGTGACCAGTCGTGTGCAGCTGTTCTATCCATCTCGATTGTATATTGCATAGTTCGATCTCGGCTGAGGATAAACAGATAAACATAAGGCTGAAAAGGTAAACTCGTGAGACGTTAAACAAGAGTAGAATAATTTCTTCCATGTAACGAAAACATGACTCATCCATAGTACTTCAAAACCGATGTGTTATTTCTGTTTATTTAAAAAATTTTAACAACGATCAAGCTTGACAATGAGATATTTTTGAGAATCGCACTTTATAGCATGAAATATAAAGAAACTCAAAACATTCCTAGAATCTAAACAATAATAGAGAAAGTCTTCTAAATAACACACAGCTAAAGCAAAATATGATGCCGATGATAAAATTCGCAGAGCCATTCTTCCTTGAATTACTCGATGGTATTAAAAGAACTTTATTAGCATTATAGGTTGCACATCATCATACAGCATCTAACTGAAGACTTTGGAAACTTTCATTATAGGAAATAATGATGATGTAGATGATTGATGAGTACATAGTATTGACATAGTTGTTGCCCGAAGAATCATAAATGAAAAAAACATTAATCGCAGTGCTGTCTCTAATTGCTGGCTTTAGGTATGATTCAATTATTTCAACTTAATTGGTCATCAGATAATACACTGTATTGACAACAATAGTTAACTGTAAAAAGTCTTATGCAACCAACTATGCCATCAAATCTCAGTTGAAATTAACTCAAGAAGAACAAAAAAAGAAATTCTAAGGTTATTAATATCCATATTTTATCATGCGACAAGTGAAATTTCACAAAATGCAAAATAAGCGGTTGTTATTGTCATGATGTTTTCACCATGCATCATTACTTGATCTAAACAAGTAATTGTGAAAGCATCAGAAACTTATAAAACTACTATAAACTTCTTTAAACGAAAATAAACCCACTAAACATATCATATATTCAACATGTATAAATGATGCTTTATTTATTGATGTGATGTTATTGCTGAATATAGATAGAAAAAATGAATATTTTTTTTCTAATCGTTGGCTTTATATGATTTCAAAAGCCATCCTTAGCACATTTGCTATGTGTGGAATGATGGAAATTAATATTAAGGTTATTTCTTCTGTGATAATTGGCAACTGAGCTGAAGTACTATTGTTACAATACAAAATATTATTTACAATTGTATCTGACAAGTCTTTCTTCTTTTTTAATCACTCTAATAGAAAATCATTATTCAAATGCTTTCTTTTTTTAAACATCTTTTCATAATACAAATTTTGTTTTTAACATAATGTATGTACTATTTATATAATAATTATCAGACTAGAATGATTGCGAGAAAACAATAAATTGTAATTGTGGTCAAGATTAATTATGTACTCATACTCAAAGTTATTTGGAATTAGTGTATTATATGTAATACATTAGATAACTTGCTCATTTATTTCATTTCTTTTGTTTTAAAGACCGATGACATAGAATAAAAGGATATAATTTTTTTTGCTATTTATTGATTAGGATAGTTTTTGAATTTTAGAAAATAAGACGAATATATTTCAGATTTTGATAAAATATGAAAAGTGTTGTTTTATTTGCGTGTTTGTTCATAAAATCTAGCTCATTATTATGATTTGTTTCAAGTTATAACTTCACTAAAATAAAATCATTCGATAACATATGAATAAATTCAACTAAATATTATTTCTTTTTCAAGTTGTTTTTTTGAAAAGTGTTTGTATAACAGCCCATTTTCCATTTACCATCCATTTAGGATCAAGCTTAGTAACTTGTTCTACTAATTTTTGATCGATTTCAACTTGTACATCTGCTTTACAGGTTCTTAAAACAACTAATGATGTTGGTTGAAAACCACGTAATGCTGTTTCAAATCGTTCACTGAATGGCCATTGAAGATCACCAACTAATTTTCTATAACTCAAATCACCTTTAAATATAATTAATTTTGATTGTGACATTGTATAATAAAGTTCTGGTGAAATTTGTTGCATATATGAATAATCATATGGTAAAGTAAAAAATCGATGTGTCTGAATTGTCCATTGACCATTTTGAATATATTCTTGCCATCGTTTTGATGCTATTTGCCATACAGGATTTGATGATGATTTATTTAATTGTTCTAAAAGCCATTGAAAATCATTTTTAGTTGCATCAGATACAAACCATGGGAAACATTTTAAATGTAATATAATACGTGAACATAAACGTTTTGATATAAGAAAATCAGCAAAACATAAATCAGTTAAAAGTTCAAAACCAGCATTATCAAGAACAAAATCAATAGAAACATCAAAATTCAATAAATATGCTTGTTGATCATAAAGATAATTAAAGACAGATGTTTGATGATTAATTAATATATGTGATTTAAATTCAGTTATTTGATGAAATGGATCATGTTCTTGTGAACAGTCAGCACCAGCTGTTATTGATAAATCACATGCATTACCCCAGAGAGCAATCTTAGCAAAAAAGAAGATTTTTTTAAAATATGATATGGTTTTTTTATTTTATGTTGAAAAATATTTTCATACTTCCATATAATTGTAAAATTGTTGTTCAATCGTTGATTTATTATTTATTAGATTAACTGTTTGGTCAACATCTGTATTCAATTGAGCAAGAAGTACATCCATCGCTTTTGAAGATAAATAAAAAGTATTTTGCTTCATTTCAATAAATGGATCAATATGTTGTAAATGTGTTCTAAAAGATTGAAAATTAAGAAAAATAAAAATATATAAATCTATACATACGTAAGAAAAAATGCTTCTGAAATCTTTCGATACATATAACATTCAACAAAAAGCCAACTACTTTGAAACCAACTAAGTACTTTGCCTAAGATATTCATTATTGGAGTTAATAAGTTTTATTTTTATTTTCTTACCTTGATCCATTTCTTTTTGAAGATATTCATTCCATAAATGAACGTCATCAGTATGATTATCATTTAATAATAAAATAGGTTTATCCTATAGGTTTTCAATAAAGAAAAAAAAATTGAAATATATTATGTGCAGTTTCAATTTACTGACTACCGATGTCAGCGATTTACGAGGAAAAATTCTCGGATATTCTTTTCCGATTTCAATGATTTTTGTCTATAGACACTGTATAATGTTTTATTATGACACCTAAAAGCATTCAAGATTCTATTGATATTTACGAATTTTTAATATGTCTATTTTCTAGAAGCTCCAGATTTATGGAAAACTTATGATTTTCAATCTAAAACTTCTTGCATCTAGAAAACTCTAAATGACAACCTTCTACAAAAAAATATTCACAAGTTTCGAAAAAAATCTCTTCAAAATATGAAACTTTCAAAATATAGGCCCTAGTATATCAAGGATATATACAATATGCATTTTTTGAAAGCTTCATATTTTCAAGACACTATTCAAAACTTGAGAATTTTTTTATGGAAACTAATCTAATTGACTTCTTTAGATATGCAAAATTTCAAATCAAAATTTATAGATATTAAAAATTCGACAACTTACTCAAATGTCAAGAGCAACCCAAGTTCTTTTAGAACACTATTTAGTATCTATACGCAAAAGACCATTGAAATCGAAAGGCGACGACTGAAAAGGTTTCGTCGTTATTTGTTATTAATGCTAAGGTAAAAAAAAAGTGAAGACCTCATACTTCAGCATACTCGAAGAGGATGTCAAAACTATCCTGTAGAACTTTTTAAATACTCCAAATCTACTATCGTCCTGTTTATTACGATAATGTATTTGGGGTTATTGCCAGCCAAACTTGTATAAAATGGACTGCAACTAATATGCTTGTGACACATGTTAATAGTAAATTTGAAATAGCTAAAAAGTTCTACAAGATACCTTTAACATATTCTTTGAGTACGGTAAAGTACAAAATTTTCGCTTTTTTTTCCACTTGGTTGAATATATACTGACTGCTCAGGCATCATTGTTCACGGAAGTATAGGAACAAAAATCTTACTCGAGCAATTTCATATCGTAATTTATCCATTGCACTAATACATGATTTACATTCATTCTCTGCTTCCTAAAAAAAATAATATCATTCTATATCGATAAAATATTTGATCAATAAAAACTTACATCACCATATTCTTTCGCTATTTTTCCACGTAGTCGTGCAAGAAAATCCACAACACGTGTAACAATAATTGGAAGACGATCTTTTACTGTTTGATAAGCAAATGATCTATTACATAAATTTATTTCAATAGAATATTATTAGAAAAGTATATAACATACTTTTCATATTTAGCTGATAATGGCGGTGGTAACGCCATAAATATACTGTTTTGTTTTGTATTTAGTTTTTGAATAATAAATACAAATAATAATTTTTTATTAGCAAAAATTACGCGCGTATTATCTATAAGTAAAGTATTTTCATCAGTTTGTTTTGTTTTTATTTTACAGACGACAGAAACAAAAAAAGAAGAAGTTATGTAAACAAAAAAGACGAAGAATATGAAAAAAATTTAAATGTATTTATATTGATTTAATTTTTGAGTTGGATCATATTCATCACTCATACGTTGCCAATCTTGTTCGGTTTGACCAACAACAAAGCCAACTAAAATTGAAAAAATTAACAGACGAAAAAAAAAAATAATATATTATTTTCTTTAAAACAAAAAAAAACAAAGCACATACCAGCTTTTTTATGTAAATGAAGAACATTTTCTTCAATATCAGCCCAACGAACTTTTTTCTTTTTTGATTGACAATTTGGTGATAAATCATTCGATTGATCATCTATACTTATTGTTGTATTATTCAAACGTTTTTCAATCGGTGGTGATGATTGATTCGATGATGAGCTTCGTCGTTGATACAAACCATCGAGACGATCTAAATTTTTTTCCAATATAAATATTAATAAAACATATTGAGAAGAGAAAAAAAAAAGAAAGTTTCAAAAATGAAAAAAAAAAACAACGAGAAAAAGATTTCATAAGGAAAATAAGAGAAAAAAAAACATAGCATACCGGGATTTGTTTCCATCATTGCTTCCCATTTACTTTTCTTTGTAATCTAGAATGTTCATTTGTGTGCTTCATCGTCGATCGGATTCTTGCAAATTTCGCTCTCAGACAAACAAATATGTACTTACCGTTTTCTCTCTTTCTCGCTCATTATTAAAACCTCTCTATATCCCTGTTATTTTAAAGTTTACTTATGCAAATTACCTGACTCTCCTCCTCTTCGATTTCATTTTGTTCAGTTGTCGTTGTTGGAGGAGCATCGTCCATTTCAACCTTGAAAAATCAAATAGAAAACAAAAGAAATTTATTTCTAACAAACCTCATCGATAGCATCCGATTGAAGTAATGAACGAATATCAAGAATTTCATAACGTAGTGGTAATTGTTCCCAACGTTTATGAATCTATATGATAATGAATATAAATAATGTTTCTTTTTTTTTTTTTATTTTCTTGGAAACAAAATTTTACGTGTTGAATATCAGATAAAGAACGATTATGAATATTTCGTTGTGAACATGTTTGTATATCATTATTTAATTCAACAAAATAAACTTGAAATTGATTTGCTTCAGCATAATCAGCCATATCACGAAAATGACTTAATTGTTCATTATTTTGATCAATAATTAAAAATGGATAGAAACGATCATCAATCGATTTTCGTACTAATTTTATTAAACTTCGTCGATATGTTTCTTCCATTTTTGGATCATACTCATATTCCATAACCTTTTATTTTTGTATATTTGTATAAAAAAAATTCTTTTTTAATTTAAAAGAAAATGAAATTTTTAAACATACAGATGTTTTTGTTATTTTGCCTGTTTTAGGATCTTTTGTTTCACGTTGATTTTCGGTAAGAAAATAATTGTCAATTGAAAGAATTTTTGGTTTATTAGTACCTTTTGATTGTAATTCTTCTTCATTCTATAAACAATAACTGCAATATCAATGAAAATATCCGAATTCATTTACTTTGATCAAATCAGCAACATAAGATTTACCCGAACCTACATGTATGCATTATTATTTTAAGTAGAGAAAAATGAATGGAAAAAAAAATACAAACCAGGTAAACCTCGAAGAAAAACAATGATTTGTGGTGGTCGTTGTAATCGACCAGGTTCTTTAAGAAGTGTATCGATCTATAGAAAAACAAAAAAACGCAAAAAAATCTATTATTTGAAAAAGTTTTTCATTAATAATACTGGAATAAGTTGATGTTTTTGAAAAAGTTGACTAGTTAATACTTGCTGTTGTTGTTGTTGTTCATGATGATTTGAATGTGTCAATTGTGGAGGTATAGGGTATGTATTACGATCACTGTTTGTCCAATGAGAATGAGAAAGTTGATTATTAAATAATTCTCCTGATGTCGATATACACGATCCTAGTGGTACAGATGGAAGTGAAAGTCGTAATTTTGTTGCGTTATTTTCGATAAATCTTGGATTTGTGAGTTGAAAATGATGTTGTTGTTGTTGTTGTTGTTGTTGATTACTGGGAAATGATTGTGTTGGAATACTCATTAGGGATGGAAGCTCTTTTGCATTCTCATTAGTAGAATTTGTCTAGACGAAGAAAAAAAGGATACAACATTTTCAGTAATAGAAAAAAAACGCACGACAAAAATCTCCGAACTAGTTAATTGCTTTTACTTCGAGACTAGATACTTCAAATAGATCCATATGAGCGATGCAAAAGATATACTTTTATTTACAAGAAATTATTCGTATTTAGACCTGTCTCTGTGAAAAGTTTGAAAACACAAATTATTTTTCGTGTACTTATAGCTCATTTGGATCTATATGTTGAATATAGTATCGACTTAAAAGCAATTAATCAATTGAAAGATTTCTCTCATTAGATAAACATACTGGTGAATCAAAATCAGATTCTTCAAGATAGTGACTTTTGCGTTTTAATACAGCTGTACCACCACTAAATGGTGGTTGTGGAATACCAGTACCACTGCTTAATAATGATTGTGAAACATTAGTACCACCACTGAATGATGGTTGCGGAATGCCAGTTCCACCATTAAATGTTATGTGAGTAATACCGGCACCACCGCTAAATGATGGTTGTGGTATACTGATACCGCCACTGAAAGATGGTTGTGGTGGATGTAATGATGGTTGAATATGATGGAAAGTTGTTGGAGGTGATGGATTAAATGAAGGCATAGATGTAGCAGATGGAGAAGGAGCAGATGAAAGTATCCAAGATTGTTGTGGATGTGGTCGAGAAGGTGTAAACATAAGGGATTGTTGTTGTATTGGCATATTGCCAGGATATGGTTGATGAAAATGATGAACCTGTGTAGTATACATTAAAGATGGAGGTTGTACTATTTGTTGTTGCTGTTGAGGAAGAGGTACCATATATCGATTGACAGGCTGTACATTATTAAAATGATCGACTATAATATGAATATGAAATATATTTTATTGAAAAAAATGAACAAAATGGTTTAAAGCAGTTCAAATTTTCAAAGTTGTCTCTTTTTTATTTGAATATACGATTAAATTCTTTTCATTTAATTATTAAGAAAAAATTTAAAGTTTTAGAAAAATAAAAATAGAAAACTTACATCGATCACCACGAAATGGTATCATTCTAATGAATATTTATCAAACATCTAGAAACAAACAAAAATATTTTATATTTTTCATACAATATTATTATCCTTCTAATCTTAGTATTCTGCTTCACAGTTTAATGTAAGATAAAGTAACAGTTGAAGTAAACAATAGCTTTTGTTTATTGTTATACTTCATTGGTCACAATATTGCAATATGTTTCATTATAATATAAAATAGAATCAGTTTTTCATCAATATCTAAATAAGCAAAAAAGAAAATTCTATGTGAAATTATATTATGAAAGACTAATTCGATCATTTTATTATATATGTTACGGAATACTTTCATTCAAACATTTACTTCTATTATTATATAATAGTAATTCAACGGATGATTATGAAAATATTAATTGAACATTTATGCAAGTGTGCTCAAGTTTTCAATTTTGTATAAATCAAATGATAAATAAACTCAAGATGATGTTATCAACAATTATGAAATATCTTAAATAAGACAATTGAAAAGCTTAAATCTATTTCTTCTGTACAGGAAACAATTCATAATAAAAAAAAAATTTCTTTTAACCGATTAATTATTCTCGATGAAACAAAAAAAAAAAGCTTTCTAATAAACATGATCAAGATTAATTTAGTTCCCGCATTTGAAAACAATATTTAATGTACATGATGAATTTATTGACGCGCCAATCAGTTTTCACAAAAGAAAAAAAAAAATGATGTCAACAAAATTTTGTTCAAGTACATCAACAACAGATCTTTGTCAACGTTATGTAATTTGTTCAGATTCTTATTCTCAAACAATGACGAATGATCATAATGATGATGATTATGCAAATTATGAAGAAATTTATATTCAAAAACCTTCAACATTTATTCTTAAGAATAATGTCAAAAAATCTGACCAAACAGTATTATGTCGAATAAATCGTTTTTCAATTAGTTGTTGGACAAAACCAGCTTATTTACTTACCAATCAATGAATGAATTCTATTGAAAATCAAAAAATTTCATTTATTTCATAGACTCATCTGACTATTAACTGTTATTTAATTCAAATAATTAAATACATAGTAAAAAAAAAATATGAAAATAAAAACAAAGCAAAACTTCTCACTCGGACTGATTTGTATATACGTAATTCTTTGCTCTTAAAATATTTTAATATTAAAAAAGAAAATACTCGTTCTTCTGAATTTCAATTGCTTTTTATATGATCAATATTGATTTAGACATATACCAAAGCATTACATATCTGCTTGTATATTGACACTTCAGACATTTGTCTAATTCAAATAGATTCAGACTAGAAAAAAACGTCAATACAAAGATTCTAAAGAATTTTTTTCATCAAAATGATACTCAGAAGAATTATCTAAGAACACAAAACACAAAAGTCAATTAATATCTTTCTCTTTTTTTTCTCACAACGATGTCATAAAAGAAGGATTTTAAATAATTCCATTAATGCATAATTAAATATTATGAATGTAGTAGTAGTGTGAAATTTGAGCTAAAGTCTTATTTTTGCGGCTTTTTTTCTGTTGCGGTTAGATAGAGTTTCATGAGTTACCACAAAAAAAATATTGTTTTTTTGACATACTCAATCGACGATGCTTTTGTAATGAAACTTAAGAGAGTTTATAAACATTGAAATACCCTTAAAACATCAAAACTCGATAACCCCAATATTTATCCGAATTTTCCTAATCATATAATGAGAAAAACAAAAAATTTCGAATAAATATTGAGACTTGATGCTATTGCCATATTCATATATTTATATGCTTTTCTAATCTTTCCTACAAAAAACATCATCCGAGTATGTGAAGAACAACATTTTTTATAGCTAACTCGACGGGCTTTATGTAGTCATGACAAAAAAAAAGATTTTTGCTCAAACTTAATTTTATTTTTCACAAAATCAAAAACTTACGATTATCTTTTTCTTTTTATCGTCGATATTCAAATTGACCAACACATCGATTAATATCCAATGCAAAAAAACTAAATATAATATTTCAAAATGAATCTTTCTATGTTTTTTTTTTAATTCAACTTACAACGACTGATGCTAATAATATAATGCTTTTGACCTTTCGATAATATCTGCAAACATGATTCATAAACATAATATTCTATTATTCATTCTCTATTAATACTACTGTCGTGCTATTTTTATAAAATAAAACGATTAATACACACACAAATACAGGAATGATTAATTCTATCAAACAAACAAACAAACAAAAAAAAAGGATTCTAAACTGTTCATTTTTAACGAACATCAATCTGTGAAATAATACTAGCATTATTATCTGCACCATTCGTTGTTTTTCGTAAACGTCTTAAACGTTCTTGAAATAATGTATTCATATGATAACGAAGTGCTGTACTACGACGACGAAGATCAGTTTCACATATGTCATGATTTGATCCAAGACGTTGAGCATCTTCTAATGACATTTTTGTTAATTCTAATTGTGTACCTGATTCAGTACGTAAATCAAGACTTTTAGCCGATTTATCCAAAGGCGCAACACGAGCTGTATTAAAACCAGCTAAACAATGCTAAAAAATGTATAGGAAAAAAGAAATAAGTGTTCAGTAAAAAAAAAAACAAAATTTATAGTATTACATTAGCAAGAGCAACACTATCAGTCGATAAATCTGCCAGATGAGCACGTTTTGGTGGACGGAATTGATATGTATTTGAATTCACACGATATTTTGGAATGCTAACACTATTAGAAAGAACATTTCTTTTTTTGAATTCAATTAACATTCGTTTATATTTATTACCGTGCATATTGTGGTTCATATGCATTAGGTTCTTTACGTAATGATGCACAAATAGGACAACGACTTTGTCCATTCATATCTGGATTTGTTGGAACAGTAAAAAGACGATCATTAATCGTAAAACTATGTATACCTATAAAGAATATATATATAACAGTAAAATCATTCTTTAGCGACTAGAGCTGTCTATAGGATGATTTTTCGTATTATGCTGTACCCTGCTCGGGTTACTGAATCAGAACAACATATCCTTCCGAACTAACACATCGCCATAATCGAAATGTCCAACCGAATTTAAACAAAAAACATTTCCTTACTATGTCATAAAACATTGTTTTATTTTAATTCTTCTTTCGAAATTTTCAAGTTCCTACCCTGAATCGTATAACGACATTTCTTTCGTTCTCAAATATTTCTTTTTTGGGGGGGTTTCTGATGATGATTTTACAGGATATAACGATCTCACGCTGCCTTGTGGACACATCTGTTAGCGTCATAACTTCACAAAATCAAATTAGATATATTTTGAAATAATGAACTTTTCTAGAGCGAATTTTTATATGTTAAACCTATACTAAATTACTTCTGTGATATCCTGAAAAAATTCAGCACCATCGATCTCTTCTCAGAGAAAGTATCAGTAAAAAACTAGAGTTAGCTACATGACTCAAGAAAGTTTTACATATGTCTATTGGAAATGAACTTATTCAAAAAAAAAATTAATGATCTGACAGAATCAAAGTCAAATGAAAGGAAAGTATGGTCTATATATTTCATATGATATTTTTCTTATTTTATATTTACAAGTATGAGAATGTTGATAAGCATCTGGTGGTACAAGTTCGAGTTCTTTTGAAAAATCTGTTAAATCAGCTTCACTAAATTATACGAATAAATAATTAATTGATTAATCAATGAAATATTTTTTTTGTTTTATACTTTGATATTGTATAAGTTGTTGATGAATCTAAATTATTCTTTCGAAATGATACTAATTCATCTACATATGAATCTGATAAAGAATTTTCATTATTTAATAATGATGATTTTTCATTATCAAGTAATCCAGCAACAAAATCATAACCAAGTAAAACTTTTTGACGATTATGAAATGATGTTTGTTGTTGATGTTTTTTCGGTGATATACTTGTATTTTTTCGTTGTTGTTTTAATGACATATTTTGTCGTTCATGTATACGTTTCTTTTTTTATTAAAAGACAAAATTAGAATAGATTATTTTTTATAAAACATACTTTGATTTGTTCAACATTATCTGTTGTCCAAACTTGTTCATGATTACTTGATGTTCGTAATGTATTATAATAAACATCTCTATCATTACCTTCATCAAATAATGAACGCCAATGTTTAAGCTATATGAAATAGAAAATAAAAATTAAATCATAAAAAAAAAAAAGAATTAACCTCATTCCAAGGTTCATTGATTTTCTGTACAGTTTCTTGAGATTCATTTTTTTCTTCTTCTTCTTCATCATCCTCATTTTCATCATCTGTATTATATGAATAATTAAGTCCTTTTCGTCGTTGATTTTTAACATTTTTTAAATATTGATCAATATCAATACGAGAAATATTATCCGGAATATTAACAACAAATGGTTCAACAGAATTTTTTTCATCATTAAGAATTTCTTGTTTTTTTAAAATTGAACGTGGTTTCAATTGATCAGATGACATCTATATTAGATTGTAAGAAATATAAATATGTAATGGATTCAAAAAAATTCTCTATACCCTCATATAAGATTGATCATCATCATCATCAAGAAATGAAACACTTTTGCTTTTTTTCAATGTACCCATTGTATCATTTGTTATTGTTTTTAATTGATTTGATATCATTGCTTGTCGAACTTTAAGACGATCAATTAAAGATCGAGTTTGTTCAGCAAGATTTTCACTTCTTTCCATTTTATTGAACTATTCTAAATATGTAAAAAAAAAAAGAAGAAGAAAAAGTCAGAACAGAACAAATAATAAATAAACAGTAGTGAACCATATTAACCAATCAATGAATCAAATAATAGATGTCTATACATATATTTTCTTTGATTGGTTCACGAGTACATATACATCGATCTCTATTACTATTACTATTACTCTATCGCGTACGACATTCAATTAGTTAAAAAAAAGGAAGAAGAAAACAATCAATTTAGTTTGAATTGATGTTCTCTATTTTGATTATCTTG